TCTTTTTTGTTGCATGTAATATGTGATATTTATGTGATTCTGGTAAATAATTATCCCACCAATTTTTAAGCATTCCCGCAAATCTTGAGACTAATATTTTTGCTATTTGATGATCAGTGTTGTCATGAGATTTATAAGCTAATGTTGACATGGTCTTTTCTTGTAAAACGTTTAATATTTGGTGTTAAGCTAATCCATCTATATTCGATTCATCTATTCCTGTTCCATTATAGGAAGATCTTGCCATTTGTGTTACATCTTCAAATTGCATATTTGGTAAGGAAGGTCTTGGGTAATAGTTTTGAGTTTTAGGATATTTCATATTATTTCTGATTTTATTAATAGCTAAGTTTTGAAAATTTTGATTTAATTCTTCTATAGGGTCCGATTCTGTAAGAACATTAATGTTTGATTTTGAAGGTGCTAATTCATTAAGTTTTTTGCTAATAGTTTCTAAAATAGTATTGTAATTATTAAATTTAACAATTTCTTCTTTTGGTATATCGAAGGGTTCAAAAAATGATTTTACATATTTTTGTGAATAAATGGTGTTGAATTAGATGTTGAATTTCCTGTTTCTACTATTTCCTTCTCGGGGGTTTTTGAAATTTTTTTGATTATGTGTGTAGTGTTATCTTCTATCCTATTTATTTGTTGACCAATAGTGTGGAGAATTTGATTAGAGTAATTGTTTTGATGTTAAATATTTTTAATGTCTCTTAAAGTTGGTTGTTTTTTATTGTAACACCCACATGGAGGTACGTAATTTAATTTATCTCTTATACCTTTAGTTGATTTTTGCTAAAGTTATTTTAAGGAAAATGTGAAGAAAATGCCTTAAACTTGCATTAACGGTAAATGGTATTTTCACTCAAAATTAGTTGAAAAAGTGGGGAGTAAAAAGAGATAGAATTTCTTGGAGAATGCAATAAAAATGAGGGCATTATGGTAATTGACTAAGAGACATAGATGGAATTTTAAAGAAAGTGCAAGGGCAAAATGGGCTACTATATATATTTTCATGTTATATCAAATTGAAGAGTGAAACCCTAGCTACTCTTACCCATTTTCACGCCACTTTCACCTCCATATTCTTTCAAATTCTTCAATTCTTCTTTAAAACAAATTCATAGGTTTTGTGTATTTTTGAGTGGATTTTCAATCCCAAGCAACTTTAAGTACGATCCTTGCACTAAGAAGTGATTTTTCATTTTTAAAGTGTTGAATTTTGATGGTTTGTGCTCATAGGATTTAAGAAGAAGAGAGTTTGATCAAAGAAGATTCTTAAAGGGGTTGGATTGCTCATATCAAAGGTAAGTAAATCCCACCCAAGTTATGATTTGAGAAATCAAGTGTGTAGAGATTTTACATATATGTATATGCTTATGATTTTGAGAATTGTTGATGAAATTGATGAATTATTGATGAGTTTGATGATTATTGATGAATAGAATTTAGTCATGAGAAGCGGTTTTGGTTGTAAGATGATTAATTGAAGTTTGGTTGAAGTTAGAAAGAGTTGAGTATAATTTTTGGGAGTGTATTGTTTTGGACAGGTTTAGTAATTGTTTAAGGGAGTTTTACTCCAAATATTGGTGGCTTAAAAAAGAGATAGAATTGTAGTCAAGTTAGAGTTTGATTATGCATGCAATATGTTTGATGAAATGTCCAAGAGAAGTGTATGCATGAGTTTTATTCATTTATGAATTGATATGAGTTTGTAGATGGTAGAGGGAAACTTATTTTTATGCTACATAGCATCCTTGCATTCAAACATTTGCATTTAGAAAGAATTATAAGCATGAAACCATCTACATGCATACACATTCATATATAAGAGCATGGAAAAGCACTAAAATATGTTAAAGAGAAAATAGAAAGAAATGAGAATATTAAAGATATTCAAATCTAAAATTTTAGTTAAAGAAGTGTAAAAAGATAAAAAGAAGAGAAGGTTGTTGCGATGGGGAGCCAATGAGTGACATAGTCCCACATGCACGCCGCCTTTAGTGAGCGGCCTCAGAATTCATAAAGAAGAATTGTACAGTCCGTTAGAAGTGCGTGCGGATGAGGACTGTACCCAGAATTAGAGAATTGACTCACACGGCCAAGGCTCCAAATCCATGCCTCAACTGAGTCCGATCGGCAAGAAAAGAAAGAATAGAAAGAAAAAAAAAAAAAGAATAGAAAGAAAGAAAGAAAGAATAGAAAAGAAAGAAAGAATAGAAAAGAAAAGAAAGAATAGAAAGAAAGAAAGAAAAGAAAGAATAAAAAGAAAGACTAGAAAAGAAAGAAAGAAATAAAGAAACAGAATAAAAAAAAAAATAGAAAAGAAAATACATAATCTATGCATTTGTGTATTTGCATCATGAATATGCATAATACCATGCTCATTATCGTGAGTAGCGAAAAATTAGAAAATTGAGAGAAAAACAGTGAGCAAAACAAAGAAAGAATGAGAAAGAATAGAGAGAGAACAGAGAAAGAATAGAGAATAATTGGGAAGTATGATGTAAGGAAAGAAAATTCAGGATTTAAGCAACGGAGAGAGAAGGGTAGCATAGCGGGTTTACTTACTGAGCAATTAGTGTTCACTCCGTTGTTTTCAATGTTTTTGCAGGTAATAGGTGAGTTGCGGTCACTCGGAATGTCACGCAGTGGAAGGGATTGGGCTACACTGTCAAGATGTCATTTTGAGTATTTTGTAAATATTTGTACATAAAGAAAATTAAATATGGGCCCATACTATATTTTTTAATGAGTTTTATTGATTATTTTACGAATATACTAGCTGGAAAGAAAGTATTACATTTATCATCATCAATTTTATTAATTTTTTTAAAAGGGTGATGCTATTATTTCTGCTTGTTGATGTTCTATTTTAATTTCTTCTAAAGGTGGATGTATAGATGTAATAGTTTTATTTGTTGATGTTTGCCAATTTTTTGTTGTATTAGTGGTTACAAAAATAGTTTTCTTATCACTTAAATTTTGATAATATTTTCTATTTTCTAGCTAATTAAAGAAATAAATATCTTGTTTTAATTTTTCTTGTGTATTGTACCATTTAGATCTAAGGGTATTTTGTTCTTCTGGTTTAAATGTTGTAAAGGAAATTTGTCTTTTTTTCTTTATTATAGTTTTGTAGGAATTCTTGTTTTAATAATTCTTTATTAATTTCAAAGGGTTTAGTTATTGTGTTAATTTGACTGTAATTTCCTAATACTTCTGATTGTGTTGGTGAACTAGGTGGACTTGATGTGTTTTCATATGTTGGTTTTGGTATAGGAGAGGGATAATTTACTCCTACTAATTTACTTGTTGAACTTGCTAATGAGGGCCTAGGTGTAGTAATTTCTTCAATTCCAGGGTTGTGATGATTTTTGTTAGTAATTATGGGAAATTCAAAACTACCTATTTGTTATATTGTGTCTTTTTTAATTGGTGGTATGTTCCAGTTCTGTAAGTGTTGATCAATTTTTGCCATATTACTCTATTGAGTGTTAATAGATTTCATTAATTATTGATTATTGTTTATACTTTGTTGTTGATTATTAATTCTGATAGCATTACTGCTATTACTATCATCTCGTTTACTGCTACTTCCTAATCTCCTTAAGAAATTAGACATCTCTAAAACAATCATAACCTAAAAGTTCTAGTTTCTCTTCTAGATCACGGGACCACATAACATGGTTGACCAACGGTTATAAGCTAACCAAGCGCAACCTAGAATCAGTCCTAGAGTTCTTTTAGATTAAAACCTTCTAGATTTATCTAACCCTTAATTCAACCAAGAAATGAACAGGGCTACTGATGAACTGTAATGAATAGTAAATTGCTATAGTGTAAACAGTAATAGTGAACAGTGATGAACAGTGATAGTGAATAGTGATTTTGAACAGTGTTTGCTACAGTACGATAATGGATTATACACACACGCATATATATATATATATATATTAAAACATTCAGGTGAAATGAAATGAATAAGAGTTAACAACAAACACACCAATTCCTCGATTGGGTAAAACTCACTTTCACTGAAAGTGAAAGAAATAAACAATAATAAAGTTATAATAATAAATAAAGTGTCACATTAATGGATGGAGACTTGGATCCATGAGGGTGCATGATATATTTGATTGAGCTTTTGAGTAAAAAGAGAAGTAAAACATGTGTAGCTTTTGCGGTAGTGGGTTATTGATAGTTTTGTTGGAGAGAAATTATTTTTAAACCTTTTTNCACCCTCAGAGTCATAATTCATATCAAGATTTTACCTAGCAAGCGAAAAATACAATTATGTTGAAGTTCTATGGACCTCTTTACATGTTAAAAAACAGTTTATTTTCAGACTTAAAAGTCTTCTTTTATATGTATATCTGATGTGTGTGTGTGTGTATGTGTTCTGTGTTTGAAAATAAGTGTATTTTTTATGAAAATGTGTTCCGTAGAAATAAGTGATAATGTTTTCAAAATTACTTTTCATGTAAAATTCTATTAATTATTAGTACAAAATAAAATAAAAACCATCAAAAGTCGTTTTTACAATTTTTAAAAATTTCTAATCTAGAAACTATTTTGAATATTATATCAAACACATTTTAAAACATGTTTAATATTAAAATACAATTAAAAAAATTGAATTACATTTTAGTTTTTGAAAATTATTTTTAAAACACAAATCAAACAGATCCAGTTTATATATAAAGTATGTTTACTTTATATACATGGTCACTAACGTTTTCTACAAATGAATGCTACCTTTGTCGAACAAATAATGCGGTGGAAGCACTGATGGAAGACTTAATATTTGAGGAATTCAATCGGAGAAACTTGAACTTAATCTCGCCTGATAAATGATGTATTCAGGATATTACACTAAAAAATTGTCAAATGGTTATCCGAAAAATTAGCTAATACTTTCATAACTCTTAAAAGTTTGTTCTTATTTTAAACTTTCAAAAAAATTCAAATTTACGTACCACGAACATTTCGAATTATTCCGCAAGTGCTATATCTTCGTGCTTTTCTATATTCATTGTGGCAATAGGCTGAATTGTTCCTTGGTTAAACAAACACGATTGTTCTGGTGATACTGTTGCATCCACACACTTGAAATGTGCCGTGAAAGCTAATTCATGGACAACTTCTGAAATGTTCTCAATACATTTAACCACTTCCATTAGAATTGAAGCAATTGTAGCCAATGGTATTATCTCTAAGGGAATAGCTTCTTCCCACCGGCTAATTCTGAGTAGAGTTTTTAGGTTCTCAACAGCCTTTATTAAATTGGCAATATTGGCATTGGATGACTTTGATTGAGTCATATTTTTTGTTGTTAATGCTAACTCCTTCAAAGCTTTGCCTGATTCTGTGCTAACCTTTACGCATGTCTCTTGAATTTTTCTTTGGAGTCCTAAAGAGGTCTGCAATAAGTGAAAAAAGCTAAGTTATCGAAGTAGGTTCATGATTGATAATTTGCTAAAACAATTCTTTATTTTTGCATGCTATATGAAATGAAAATTCGATCACTTAGTAGTATACTTGGATCTTAGAGTACTTAAGTTGGCACTGAAGAGATTCGATTTTGTAGGCACATTGTCGAGTAAGAGTTCCGATTTTCAAGTATTGTTTCCAAGGGTGACCAAACTTGAACCCACCATGACCAGGTTCCCATCTTGCTAAATTAGCCTACAAATTGATATGACTAATTGAATCAGTGGAAAATCAATGTTTAATTTCCTTGGAGATAAATGAAAGAGACAAGGAGTTTTTCTTCCACACCATGGTTTCTTCACTATTTTTTGAATCGAGAACGCTTTTGTATCCATGAAGGAATGAGTTATCATGGTCAGACTTCCCACATTCAAACAGTTGAAAGTATTCACATCCGAATGCTGAATAATTTCCTTGATAAGTTTAAACTCCCCCACAAAAAAAAAAAAAAACCTAGTTAATAGAAAAAGAAAAGGCATTGTGTATTGTGATAAGCGTACCTTCTAAAAAGTTGCCAAGCTTTTCCATGTTGCTAGAGACAAGGTTGTGAAGTTCCTCTCCAACCCAAACTGGGCAAATACTAATGCACACAATAATGGCAGTACAAGTACCAATGATTATGGTTGATACCCTTTGATGGGCCATGTGTAACACTTCATTATCTCGATAGCCAGATACAGATATCAAAGAGAATGTAAGTATGAAGATACTCAACCCATAATCGCACCTCGTCTTTAAGCTAGGAAAAAATCTCATGAAAGTCACTGTTGAAGCTACATTAAGTAGTTATAAATCAGAGGATGAGTTTAATAATTATAAACAAGTTATATTGGCTATGCGATTTTGTTTTTTAATTTAAATATATTTATATATGTATATATAATACCTATTACAAAGACAAATATTGCAATGAATATGGGCTCTCCTGTCCTCCCAGAAAGAGTTGCTATGCGATGAGCTCCAACTGCCAGAAAGCCACCAGTCAATGTTGCTAACATCCTGTTTATACCTTTTCCAAGTGTTGCTCCTGCAATTAAAAGAAAAATAAAAAATAAAAAATTGTAGTTACAATACCATTAATCTTTAAAGAACTTTTTGGTATCAAAGATCTTTTTGTAACATACTCTTCGTCAATTTTAGTGCGAAACATGGAGTTTCCACTTTCCACTTGCCACAATTTATAGAGTAATAATCCTTAAAAAATTTAACGAGTTTGTCGTTCAGAAAAAATACCAACTGAAAATTCGAAGACAACCACAACAGTAAGAACAGCCCACATTGCATTGACACCGAATCCATCATAAAGAGGTTTAAAGTAGTAGAACAATGAAACAAGAGTGAGAGCTAGTCCTACTTTTAAGGAATGGATAATCCTTCTTGGATCATCTTTGGCCACTTCCTTTGCTTTCTCTACAATGTTACCTACCTTACTATATAACTTCTTCTGCAACGACTTGAACAATTCGCTCACTCGAATGAGAAGTTTGTTATTGTTTTCTTGACTAGGAGAAGCCATTGCAGGTTTGAGAAAAGTTGTTTTTCTAAAATAAAGAGAGAACAATCTCTATCTATGACTATGAACTTTATGCGTAAATGAAAAATTACACATGGTTGAGTAAGGGCTTAAGGCTTTTGTTAGGTGTCTAAGAAGGGTATTATTGTCAATACATATAAATTTTGTATATGTAATGATCATAAATAACTTGGATATGATATTTATTACAGATCTAAGATAATAAACATTTGTTATATTTAGTACTTCTACAACTTTAAGCTTTTTGGATGTTTCAAAAGAATATTTCTATATCATTAATTAGTTTTCCTTTCACTCTCTCTCTCTCTCTCTGTGTATATATAACTCATATCTTTAAAATTTGATAAAAGTTTTAAATTTTTATATTAATATTTTAAAATGGTTGGACTGCATTTAAATTGTGTCATTTCTAACTTATGTCAACCGAATAAGTTATATTAAATCTCAACTGTTCAAACTGCTCTAATTCTTTAACAAATTAAAAAATTGTCCTGTACCACTTTTCTTATATCAAAATGTTAGATTAAATCCAATACACACATCAATATAAAACACTAAGAATGAATGGCAAACTTTGATACCTTTTGATTCCATAATTGTAATTGATTAAACCCATATAGATTTTTGATGAAAATTATCACGCACCAGGGAAAATCTTCCTTAGCTTGCTTTCAATATTGTATGTTATGCCTAGAAAAGTAGGGCTGACCCAGAAACCTGTCAGCGCAAGTGGTCAGAGCTTATGTAAGTCCAGGTGTCATCCAGACGCAGCCATGTCGCATGATGATGTGAGCGGCATGCTCCTCACAGTACAGTGGGTGTGCGCTAGGCTAACGAAAGGCTGGAGGTGATCCACGTGTCCAATCCCTACAAAACTCGAGTAAATTACTCGAGCAGGTGAATAACGGGGCGCAAGGAAGGATTTGCACAGCAACGTGACTCATTCACGGATTTAGTAATCATTACGTGATTTCATCCCACTATAAATAGAGGGCTCCTCTCCCGTTTGTGGGATTAGCGAATTTCTCTCTGTAATAGCATACTTATTTTCTCTTCGTAATCGCTTGTAAGTAAGCTCGCTGAATGAGACCTGACCTCACTACATTAATACAATATCAGTGGACGTAAGAGTCGCTTTTTAAGCATCCGAACCACTTTAAACATCGTTCTCCATCTTTTATCCATCCTCATACCCCCAATCGCGTGTGTTCTCTGGGCCAGCTCAGCATTTCACACGTGTGTTTAGTTGGTGTCAAAATCACGCATCAACAGTTTGATGCTAGAAGGAGGGCTTGATTTAGTATTCGTCCTTCATCAGGAGAATCTCTAACTAACTGGTCCTACAACAGCAAATGGCTCGCAAATTCGAACTTGAGTGACCTGATCATGGCGAGGAAGAAGTCCCCCAAGTGCAAGAGGGCACTTCTCCCGAAGTCCCCCTAGTTCCACAAAACCTCATGGGGGATATTCCTTCAAGCTCACAGCTTGACCCAACCGTCATGAGCTACTTGGAGAGGTTCAACAATACTCTCCAAATGGTCAACCAAAGGTTGGACCGTTTTGATCGGGTTGCACCACCCGAATCAAATGAGGCGGTGCCACTGCCTAAAACGCCTGTAGGTCGCATGAAGGTGCGAAAAAGGGGGAAAGCCCATGCCGCGTGTAGCGCATCAAAGGAAGGGTAAGCAAATGGCAAACAGCGGGCCTAAAGGCTCCAAAGGGCCAGCCAACACCGACCACATCCTGGGTAGAACACACGTGGCATTAAGGCTCGGTGACAGGTTGCATCCCGAGCTGTCCCATGCCACATTGCACGAGCACTCCCACAAAAGTGCTAGGCGGGGCGATTCTTATCACCGCCAGAATGACAATTTCGATCATCATCGTGCGGGAGATTCCCACACTCCGCGGGGCAGTTTGTACCACCGTGGAGGTCATGAAAGTTCCTTGCGTGTGTCAAGATTGGCTGGAAATACCGGCAGAGGCGAAGAGGAATCCGACCTCCTGACTTTCCTCAACTGCAATCGCGAGGGTCGAACCCGCATGGGGGAAAGCAATCCCCAGATGGTTCCACTGCCTCAGATTGAGGAGTGGGGGCAGGTTGTAGAGGCGTCTCCCTTTTCTCTGGCTGTGTTAGCCGCCCCTCTCCCATCCAGATTCAGAATGCCCGATATACGGGCGTTTGATGGGAATTCTGACCCGCAAGATTATTTGTACGAATTCAAAGACCTAATGGAACTTTACCAAGTGTCTAACTTGGCAAAATGCCGATGCTTGGCAGTAACTCTTACGTCTCATGCCAAGTGGTGGTTCAGGTTGCTCCCTGTGGGATCAATCAGCTCGTGGAACCAGATGAGCTCAACATTCTTGAGACACTTCCAGGCGAACATGAAGTTCTCAATGCCTTTAAGCTACCTCAGCAATATAAGGCAAGAGAGGGATGAATCCCTCCAATCTTACATTGATAGGTTCCACACAAAGCTCCATAAAGTAGCTCACACTCCCGAAGAGTCCGTTCGGACTCTTATCATAGTGGGAGTTCGTCCACAAACAGATCTATGGAAGGAGCTGTAATCAAAGGACGATGTTTCCCTCACTCGCTTTTACAACCTTTCGAAAAAATACCTCCGTATTGAGAGCTCCGTCACGGCGCTCCACCGCCACGACCCCGAAATTTCTGGCAACGCACCAGGTCGGGGGGAAAATAGGAGAGTTGATCACTGATGGGCTAATGACGATCAACGAAAAGGAAAGAAACCTCGGTTCGAGCCCAAGAAGTCTTATGCTCCAATTCCTCATTGCGATCATGATAGGGCTCAGTATACCCCTTTGAATGCATCTGTTTCGGCCATTCTTGATAAATCAGAAGAGGCCGGTCTACTCGAAGAGCCTAAGCCCATGAAAGGTCTCTCTTCATCCAGAAATAATAAAAAATACTATCGCTATCATAGGGACAATGGACATCACACCGATGAGTGTCGAGCTCTCAAGCAGGCAATCACAAATCTTATCAAGCAGGTAATCGAAAATCTTATCAAGCAGGGGTATTTCAAAGAGTATGTTGATGACTCTGCTCTCGTAAGGGAGAAAAATCAAGAGGAACCGAGTAAGAAGCTTAGTGATTGCAAGGGTGTCTGTAGTGGAGGGAAAATCTTTAGAGGACCGCACCTCGGAGGAAACTCGTGAGGTGCCCAAGAAAGATATGCTCGCGCAGCCTATCACGACCCCATCAGTATGATAAACACGACACAACGACCACTAAAGATTCGCAGGGAGGAGGAAATCACCTTCTCTAGAAAAGACGTAGTCCTTGCATCATCCCCATGATGATGCTCTCGTCATCACGCCCCAACTGGGGTGCTTTGACGTCCACAGAATGTTGGTGGACAACGGAAGCGCTGTGAACATCCTGTTCCAGCTAGTTTTCGAAAGAATGAAGTTGGACGAGGCCAACTTGAAGCCCGTCTGGATCCCCTTATATGGTTTCATAGGGGATCACCTGATCCCCAAAGGAACGATCTCGCTTCTAGTCACGCTGGGTGACTCTAACGAGGTGACCAAAATAACTGAATTCTTAGTAGTGGATTGCCCATCCGCTTTCAATGGTATTCTAGGGCGACTTCTACTGAGGAACTTCAAAGTAGTCACTTCGATCTACCATCTTAAGATGAAGTTCCCCACCCCGATGGGGATAGGGGAAGTAAGCGGATCTCAGCGCGCATCTCGCGATTGCTATGTAAAGGCAGTGCATATGGCATGCAAGGGGAAAGACATCTTGCAGGACATTACCAAACAGGCAATGACGATCAGTCGGATCGAACCACGGCCTGGCCCAGCCGAGGATCCTCGTATCCAGGAATGCCTTACTAGTGGGCTAGTTAAGGATCTAACGGAAGTGTCAGTCGACCAGAGCGAGCCGAGCAGAGTGTTGAGGATTGGAAGCAATCTCAACCCCCAGCTCGCTAACGACCTGATCAGCTTCCTTAGAGAAAGTATTGATGTGTTTGCATGGACGCATGCCGATATGGTCGAGATCAGCCCGGACGTCATTTGCCATGCCCTGAACATCAATAGTGAAGCTAAGCCGGTCCGCTAAAAAAGAAGGGCGATGGATTTAGAACGGTATGCTACCTTGAAAATCGAGGTAGATTACCTCCTTCATAATGGGTCCATCCGAGAAGCACTCTACCTGAGTTGGGTTGCCAACCTAGTTCTAGTAAAGAAACCCAATGGCAAGTGGCGGACCTGTGTGGACTTCACCGACCTCAACGAAGCCTACCCAAAGGACAGTTTTCCCTTACCAAGGATTGACCAGCTCATGGATGCCACCTCCGGGTACGAGTTGCTGAGTTTTATGGACGCATACTCAGGATACAATCAAATTTCGATGTATGCGTCGGACGAAGAGCATACCTCCTTTGTAATAGATCGAGGACTGTATTGCTACAAAGTGATGCCCTTCGGCTTAAAGAATGCTGGCGCAACTTACCAGCGGTTGGTTAGTCGAATGTTTTCTGAGCAGATCTAGAAGTCGATGGAAGTCTGTGTCGATGACATGCTAGTTAAGTCGCATGTGGCTTTAGATCACATAACACATCTCGCTGAGATGTTCGACATCCTCCGGAAATACAAAATGAAGCTCAATCATTTCAAATGTTTATTCGGGGTATCCTTAGGAAAATTCTTATGGTACATGGTTAACCAGCGAGGAATAGAGATCAACCCTGAGAAAATCCAAGCTCTTCTCGATATGAAGAGCCCGACCAACTAAAAACAGGTTCAAAGTCTCAATGGGCAAATAACGGCACTTAGTTGCTTCATATCGAGGGCAACAGATCCCTGCTTGCCGTTCTTCAACATTCTTAGGGCCAATAAGAAGTTTGTGTGGACTCCCGAGTGCAAACAGGCATTCTAGAGCATTAAAGAGCACCTCGAAAAACCACCCCTTCAGTCTAAGCCTCTCCCGCAAGAGATCCTCCTCC